TGCTATGGTGCACAGCTTTGTGCTCATTTCTGTTAACGACCTTAGGGTAAATTCTTAGAAATGTTATTTGGGGGTCAAAGCATAGGAATATTTTGATAATTTTTGATTTATATTAGTAGCTTTTCAAGATGGATAGATTAGGTTCAAATATACTCTTTCCCTGACAAGCTGTGGGACCTTAGGTGAATTATTTCTGTAAACTTCAAGGTTTTCATCTACAAAATGGGACTCATAGCACAGAATAAGTTGTGCCAATTTATACTTCCCTTAGCAACGTGTAAGAGAACCTTAGACTTTGCATTCTTGCTCAACTTTTTTAAATTTTCACCTTTTCTGATAAATGAAAATGGTATTTTACTATTTTTATTACAAAGAATGTTGTACATGTTTAGATATTTAAGATTTTGTTCATGAATTTCCCATTCCTATTTTTCTATTGGTGTATTTATCTTTTTATTGGTTTTAAGGAATTATTATATTCCTTATAATTATATATTATATATGTATATACACATATTTTTATTTTTTGTAGTCAAATCTATCAGTCTTTTATTTTTGTATTATAATCTTATTTTAGATTATTTTAATTCTTTAAATTTAATTTTCATATTTAGTTATTTAACTCACCTGAGAAATTTATTTTATCGGTGATATGAGGTATTGTCCCCCAAAAATTTGTTGAATGACCCTTTCTCTCACCACCAGTTTAAATTAACATCTTTTTAATACTTGCATATGTATATTTCTGTTTCCAGGTTTCAATTCTGTTTCAATGACCTGTCTTCTTCTGCTCCAGTACCATGCTTTTCCATTTATTGTAATTTTATAGGACTTTTGAACATCTGCAAGTGCAAATCCTTTTGTCAAGTATTTCCATCTCCTTTTGCCCATTTGTCCTTCCAGATAAACACTAGTACCAAAGTAAGTGAAAACATGTAACCACATCTGAATAGTAATTGGAATTTATAAATTAATTCTGAAAGAATTGACATCTTCAAACTATCCAATCTTCTTAGTTACACAAAGACTAAAAGACCTGAGTGTTTGTGACTCGAAAGTCCCCAAAGACCTGGGACTCTGGTTGATTGCTATTTTGTTCATTAATTTAATTAAACCTCCCAGATAAATTGCTCTTTAGTTTCTTAATAAATGTAAAAATACAAAATTTAAGTTATTATTATTGTGCTCCCCACTTCTCCTCTCCCTCAAATTTCTTGGGGGTGATGTGAGTTACAAATACCTCCAATAAGTTTTGCTGGACAAAATCACCAACAAAGACTTAGTGGTAGTTTTCACAAAATCAAGATTTTAATCGGTAAATTCAACCATAAAAAAAATCCCTAATCAGCATCTGTACATACAAAAATGGCAATTTTGTATGGTTCAGGGTAATGTATGCTCACAGCCCCTTTCGGTGTGTTCCACTTGCTTGGTGTCAGCCAGCTTTGTAGCTCTCACTCCTTTTTGCTCATGATGTTTGAATAAAATTAAAAGTTTTATTTCCATAATTTTTTGAGAGATTAATATAAATGTCTATCTCTCTAAAATGAAAGAAAAATGATGCATATATGAATGTTTAGGAAAAGCTAAACCCTTCCTTCTCATACACAATTTACTTCAAGAAAGAACACCCTTTCCTGTAATTTATCTGGTTCAATTTCATAAATAATCTTTCTAAAGCGTGGAACATACAATCAGCTCAATGACTTTCCAAGCTTAAGTATATTTATAAACTCCGAACTCAGGATTCCAAGCTCTCCAGTGATCTATCAGCCCTTGTCTGCAGTTATTCCCTATCACGTGTTCACCATTCCAGGCAGTGTGGTCCCAAAACATGACCTGTTTATTTCTGGCTTTTTACTTTCAGTTTATTACATTGACCCCACTTCCTATGGCTCCTTCACTCTCTAAACTGTATCTTTCACTCAGATTCCAAATCAAGGTTCATTCATTTCCAGGAGAGTGGGAAAATCCATCCCATAGTGTTTTTTATAGCACCCATCATAATCGACTCTATATTATATTCTGCTTATGTACGTGTCTTATCTCTTTGGTAAGCCTTCTAAGTTCTTTAGTGTATCACCATTCACCTAGCTCTGAGCTATCAAGGCAGTAAACATTTTCATGACTAAGGTATGTAAGGTATTCTAGTTGACTATCCCGGTTTTCATTCCACCTGGTCTGGTGATGGTTGGAATGAACAATGGCCCAAAGTGGATGAGATGTTTTGTTCCACTGGAGTACAATGTTGTCATTGCTTCATGTCATAGCAAGGCTGCTACCCAAAAGAATTACCTGGACGTTGCTCCATGCGACAGCCACATCCCTATTTTTGTACCTCAATTATCCTTCTTTTTCATCAACAAGACCTGATTTTTGCTAAATGGCTTGTTCCTTCAAGTACAGCCATGGTAGGAGCTGTCCCTTCCCAGGGCAGGATGAGGCATTGATCCAGGAGAGGGCATATGCCGCCAGCAAAACTTTTAAGAGTATTTTGTTGTCTCAGCTTTTGGACCCTGGGAAAATAAAAACAAAAATGCAAAGAGAAAGGAAAGTGGCAATATGTTTTCACATTTTCTTAAAGAGTTCTTGTTTGTGGTTGATGTTGTTGTATGCTACATTGCTCTTGAGGATTAGCAACCACATTCATAGCAGTTTGCGTTACTACCTTCCTTTGGAGTTTTAACAAATTTATTAAATAAAACTTGCTCACATTTAGGTTGCTTTAGCTAAAGTCTTACCTCTTCTTGGCTTTAATTAGATGAGATCCTTTAATATTTAATGCACATTTATTTTATAGAAGTATAATTTAATCAAATAACGAGAATGGTTTGGCTGGAGTGTTTACACATAATGTTATTATTAATTATTTTTATTCATTTTTATTATTGTGTCTTATAATATTTAGTGACAGTACTCGCCCTTACATTTTGAAATCTTTTCAGATGTTTCTGAAGCTGCCAGATACATCTTTTCTCATTTGACATATCTCTTATTCCTTTATGATGTAGAAGATCATAAATAATATATTCATTATTTATGTGACAGGAAGTTGTAAGGTTGCTACTTGAAGATGTTACATTATCTAGACAATTATATTATTTTATTTTCTTAAATATTCAGGAAAACAAATGGGTAAAACTATACTATTTTTTACCTTACTGTGTTTGGATGAGGTTATCATTTGATAACTGGTTTTTCCCAGAAGTAGAATTGGGGTAAAAATCAGAGAATTAGAAAATATGAGAGGGTTTCCAAGTACTGATTTTATTTTCATATTTCCTTTTATCCATTGATGGCTGCAGGGTAGTAAGTTCTGCTCTGCATACCTTCTAATCTTGGAGTTTAGAGAATTGTTTTCTTTTTTTCTTTCTTTTCTATTTTTTTTCTAAGTCCTACTCTTCGCAAGGAAGCCAGAAGTGTGACAGGAAGGTGTGATTTTTAATTTACACCAGAGTCTCACAAATAATGACTTTTCACACCCTGCTATTGCTGCTTAGCCTAGGGGAGGAGTTCTGTGGCTACTGTTGTCGTGGCAAATTAAATCCACGGCTGTAATTCAGAAAGATGTCCTTCTATATTTAACCCTTCTTTTCAATTTTTCAACTTGGTGTTTGTGAATACTTATGAGAATGTGGCTTATTACTTTGAAGTATACTTGTTTTCTAGGAAATGATTTCTGAAGGCTGTTTTCTTTTCAGTTTGTCAAGTATGCAAGGTGAACATGTTTTCCCTTCCTACCATTTTAACTGTGATGTTGGAAATTGTAACATTTACACAAAAATGAAAAATACAATAAAATTTATTTTGAGAGCTGCTAGCAGTAAAATTTAAATACATGATCTAATAAATATTTTTATTTTTCCTTATGATTCCATTTCTCTGAGTAGCTTTTTCTTCTGTTGTTAAAGGAGAGTAAGTATCTTACTGTACAAGTAAATCTGTATCATTTAGATTGAAAGATGAAATCGAAAGTAACGTTAAAAGATTAAAATGTTTTAAGTTTTTTCAGTTTCTCTCAGCCCACTAAAAGTAGTTTGGATTGAATTATAAACAATAGGAAAGGAGCTGCCTAAGGGAAACAAGAAAAATTTTTGAAATCGGTATACTTGTTTTAAGTTTTTTAAGTGGTTGCAGAATAGTGCATGCAAAAATAACTGAACAGTTAAAGAATATGTCTTACAAACTCTGTATACACTTCTTTCATTTACGATTATTAACATATTTAATTATTTTCCCATTTTGAGTCTGCCCAACTAAATTTTTAAAAATTGTTTTCAATCAACATACTAGTTTTTCCTACTTATCTTACCAATCAATGATGTTCAATAAAGTTCTAGAACTGAATGAAATATGTAAGAGGATTATTGGAAGGAAGGAAAGAAACATTCAGATTCTCCTAAGAAATTTGTCTCCTACTTCCTTCTCTTGCTAAACCAAAGCAATGAGAAGAAGCTACAAGCTCTCTCTCCCAGCTGGGGAGTAGCAAGGGGTTAACCAGTCTTGGTTTACTAAGTACCTCTGTCAGGCTTTTATCTTATCCTTCCTCCCTTCCTCCCCTGCCCACCCCTTTTGTAAATGTCAACCACTTCCTGATGAGCCTAGTAGTGGTGAATTTCACACCTTTCTTTTCTTTGTGAAGCAACCTGGGTGTTAATAGTACAGGATTGGGTACCATTGTCGTCTCTGGCTGTCTGTTAGCAAAGCTGAGGGATGCCTGTGGAAAAAAAGTAGGAGAAGGTGAAGAAATTTGAGAAATGAGACTAGGAAATAGGTTCAAATCAGTCTCATTTTTAAAGAAGAGTATTTGTTTTATTAGCAACTTTTAGATGTGTATTCAGAAAATAGTAATTTTAAAGAAGCTTAGTATTGAGAGTCTAGAAGAGTCTGGCCAAGGAAGGAACTGAGATTAGAGAGCTGATTGGTTCAAAAAAATAAAAGAACAATAATCAGAAAGAAAAACTGAAGAATCCTTCTCTGACCTTTTATTCTACAAGTGTATCTACAGGATACAGCAATGGAAGCTTGGTCAGTGGATCAGGTCTGCCGTTGGTTGGTGGAGAAAAACTTAGCAGAGCTAGTTCATAGATTTCAAGGTGAGTTGTTTATACTTTCAAAAAATGTTAGTTGAGCAGCCTAGATACTAAGTGTACTCTCTTATTGATAATTATTTTTGTTGCCTTCTGCATGTGAACATAGATGTGGAATTGCTGCACTGGGGAATTTTCATTTCTTTACCGACTGGCAGAGTTTGCATTTGACCTAGCTTCCACGGGAGAATAAAATATTGCAAAAAGAACTCAAATAAAGTCTTAAGGGTTACTAAAAACATATACGTGATATATGCATTTGATCCTGCTGTTGTCCTTACATAATGCAGCTTGCGTTTTATGCAGTGTTGGATTTACAAGTATTGAATATTGCCTGGGAAGGACTATTAAGAATACTTTCCCCGAGAAGACTGTTTTCCCTATAAAAACAATGCCTATTAGAAAGAATCAGAAGTGGGGAGGCATTAACGTGGAAGTAAAGTGTTTATTGTGACTCCATGTTCTGGTACTTTCTTAGGAGCAGACATCAATTTGGAATTATGCAATATCAGTGTTCTGTCTTTGTCAAAAATACAGATAATTTTATAACTGCAGAGGACAAGTTTAGATGATCCTTTTAACACCAGAAATAATTTTGCCCGCTCAGAGTGCTGTGTTTTAATGCTGTACCAGGCAGGCATGTAGAGACTTTTTTTCTTCTTTTTCCCAGAGGAAGAAGTAAGCGGGGCTGCTCTTCTAGCACTTAATGATCGGATGGTCCAGCAACTGGTAAAGAAAATTGGACACCAGGCTGTTCTGATGGATTTAATTAAAAAATATAAGCAGGAGAGTCAAGGACTGAAGTCTCCTGGAAGTCCTAGAGAAACAGCCCTGGTCACACAAGCAGAAGCAGCCCCAGAGTAAGTCTGTTGGTGAACGGCCTTATTTTTGATGTTATGCTTTCCTGACAATGGCTATAGCATGACATTTGGAGTTTAAACCTTTTTGAAAACTGTGACCATTTTCAGCTGGATTGTGTGTACAGAATTTCTAATATCTGCGTAAAGGACACTTTTTGCAGAGTTTTACGAATCAAGATACATTTTTTTAATGCATCACTTTTTAAACACTGACTCCAATTATTAGGGAGTCTTATACACAGGGGGTTCCTATATAGAAAGCTCTGTAACAAGTGGTTGAAATGTACATATAACAAGTAGAAATGGACTCCTGCAGCTTAGGTCTTAAAATCAGGGTTTGAGAAAAGCATCTTTTGCTGCTTCTTTGCTTTTCCCAAAATTATTTATTTATGTATGTATTTATTTATTTGCCAAGGCTTCCTGACAGTAACTAATTTATATTCTCCTCTAGAGGCCTTCGCAAGATAATTTGCTAAAAACTCTTGTCTCCTAGGTTTTCTAATTTCTCAAGAGTATTCTTGGAATGCTGAAAACTATGCCAGCAACCCACAAAAATCATGTAGAAAAATTTGTGGTGGCCTTTGTGGTTTAAGTATGTTTTTATTTGTTTGTTTTTTTATCACTGACTTCTGCAATGAAAAGAAATGATAACAGGAATTATAAAATTAAAATTTTCGCTTTACAAATCTATGCCCCAGGATTGTCTCAGGCATTTTGATTTGGTTTTTCCATATTTGAGGCTTTTTGCAAGGTTTCTAAGGTTAAATAATTACTGCAGACCAATTATTCATTAATTTTTAAAATAAGATTAAGATGTTGGATGAAATCCATTCTATGTTTTTACTTTAGTTTTTTCAGATTGTATCTGTAACAATACATATTTCTGCCTGCTCTTTGATAAGCAATACAACATTAGAGAGACCTGGCTTAAGTCATTTGATTTCTAGAATATTTGGATATTTGGGACATGGAGGGGGACAGGTAGGCTTGAAGGGATGGTCCACACTTGATTTGGAGATTCTACCATCTGATTTATTTGAAGGATTTCTCCTCAACACTGTTTTGACATATCTATGTGAAAGCAGGATCTTCAATATATCTTGTGATGAAGTTCTCATTGCACACTTTTACTTCTTTCCAGCAAAGGGAGGGTGTGAATCTCAAATAGAGTGCAAAGTAATTTCCCAGCATTCTTGGATGGGTCAGACTCTTGAGCTGGAAGTTCCCTTCAGTTGACTGGAATCTTGATGTTGCCTTAGGCACAGCTTGGAAGAAAACAGACAGCCTTGTTTCCACTGCAAATCAGTGTATAATGTTCTCTAGTAAATGAGAACTAGCTGGGCTGCCAGGAAGTCTGGGCTTCATTCCTGGTTCTACCACTGACTTTGATTGATTATATTAAATGTTGACATTCCTGTTGCTTCTTCTGTAGGTTGTGAAAAGTAATACAGTGCCTCATTCCATGTTAGTTCATACTGATGTTAGGAGTATCACAATCTTTGAGAAAATCTCTCCTCTTTCTCCCAGAACAAAATAGTCTTGTGTTAAATATTAAGCTTTATTAACCTTGTTAATTTTCAAATATAGCGAAGACTTGGAACCCTGGCTGTCCAGGGACTTATGAGTGGGGGCTTTTCACTCTACCCAGTAAGTAGCTGACTCACTTTAAGGATTGTGTTGTCTTGTATTCACATTACATTATTCTGATGCAAAACTACAATTGCAGGTGGGCTTATTGGTTATATTTGGTTAAAATGCTTATTGACTATATTTGCTTATTGTCAAATATTTTGCCATTTGACAAGTATATTGTCACATGGGAATCATGATAATAGAAAGAGTCATGAGACTATGTTATTTAATTAAACCCTTTCAGGAAGTGTTTAACAAAGATAGGAAACTTGGTGTAGTAGAAAGAACCCTGAAGCTAGGTATCAAGACACTTGATTTCAAACCCCTGTTCTGATATTAACTACTCATCTAACCTTGGAGATTTGCTTGACTTTTCTTAATTTCAACTGTAAAATGCAGTGAGTAGAATAAATGATGCTTAAGATCCCTTCTAAAGAATCTATCACGGCATTCTAGATCAGAGACTGCAGCTGGCTTTCAACTTGAGTGCAAATTTTCTATAATGGCTAATGGTTGCTTGGTATGTTATTTTGAAAAGGATTTGTAGGCCACATCTGGCCAGGATATTTAGCATCCTATTCAGACTTAGGCAAATGATAGGAATATGTAATAGGTAGGTGTATTTGCAGTTGCTTTTTGGTTGCTGTCCTTGTGGAAGCTGGTAGAAAAATCACTGGACAGAAAAGTGGAAAACTGAGGTCAACTCCTGGCACTGCTACTGAGTAGCTTGTGGTGGTGAGAAAGTTGCTTTCCCTTCTGGGTTTCAGTTACATCACTCAGAAAATGAGGGAGTTAGTGGAGCGTGGTTCTAAGATCATGAAATTTCACAGATAATAAAAGCTTCTCCAAAATGGAAGGGAGTGAAGAAGGGAATCTGACACAAAGTTAACCCTTTTTTTTTTTTTTGCCAAATAAGATTAACCACTAAAGGTACATTCTGTTATCACCATTGTTTCATAAAGGAAAGGGTTATCTTAACACCGTTTATAAATATGACTCATTGGTGAAAACAGCATTGTGAACTGGCGTCAGTCTACCTCCTGGCGTGTATGAACTACTGAGTGAGATGATCCCAGAGGGTCCTTTTCTCGGTTCTCTTAGTCATGACTCTAATGTGGAGGTTGGAGGTGGACACAGATCATAGTGTTTACCATGGGCTGACCCCTACCCTCAGAGCCACCATGAGATAGACAGTTGTGGCTCCTGTTGAGTTGCCTCTGACCCCCTTCTTCTTTCTTGGTGACAGGGATGAACAGTCCTCCAGTCCAGCCAACCGTGGGCAGCAGACACCATCTTTCTATCCAGCCAAAAACCTTGATGATGGACTAATTGACCAAAGAGTACTGAAACAGAGGTGGGTTGCCAACTTCTAAACATTTTAAAGCCAAATGATAGTATTTGTCTTTACTTTTTATGAGATTTCATGTATTTAAATGTATTTCTAAGTGGAAACTTTTTGTTTTCTTGGAAGGGAATTTTTTTTATCAAGTGATGAAAATATTTTGTAAAAGACATAGGTTAAATTTTCTGATTTTTGTATTATAAAAATCAAGTTCTGAGATGATATTATGCATCTTTCAAGTACACGTTGTTAAGGAAAAAGAGGATTTCTCTGTCATAAACTGTCCTGGGTGATTGGAGTAGCCACAAAGATGGAAGTTATTCGGTGAATAGTGTCCTATAGAATATGCCTTCTGTAGAGTCTTTGTTTTTATTTTGAATTTTGTAGTTGTTGTTTTAACCTGACTGTTCCTGATGGAGGCACATTTCCTTATATTCCTACACTGGATTTTACGTGGTGTACTATTTCAATATATAGGCTACATTGGAACAAAGGAAAGCTATAGACCTAGAGAACCAGACCCAGGAATGTAGCACCGGGACAGAGCCCTGAGGGCGACTGTAGGTACGAGAGTCACAGCAGCCTATATGGCATTTCCTGGCCACCCGGCCTGTGCGCTTCCTGCATCACTCATGATACATATTGTTTTCAGCCTGTGACGAGCAAATACTTTTCCTTACATGCACTGTCACTGAAAGGAGAGATGTCAGCGCGCGTAGGAGAATAATCAAGCCAGGGTGTTGTCCTTTAGAGTTTTCATAGACCCTTTACCTTCTCCTCTCATTTAGTCCACACAGCAGACCCTCAAAGTGGGCATTATTATCTCTTTTTTGTAAATCAATAAAACTGAGATTTAGAGATGGTTTAGCTAGTTTTCCCAAATGGGCTGTTCTCACGTCGGCACAGGATCTACTGCTTTCAGAGTGGGAGCTCAGGGGACTGACGGCAGCAGCCTCAGAACCTGGCCACCAGCCCCCAGCAGCCTCTGGAGTGCAGGGAAAAGCCGCACATTTGGTCAGGAGCTCTTGCAAAATGGGCTTCGGCTCTGGACTGTCCTCTCTCTTCTCTTCCCTTCTCTACCATCTACAACCTCACGCGCCTACCCCTGGGTGCAAAGGCCCCAGCTCCTCGAGATCTCTCAGTGTTTGGGCCCATCTTCCTCCATGCCACTGGCTCCTGTCTGGGGTGGTGAAGAAGAAGGTGGAAGGCGATATCCTAGGTGAGCCTTGTCCCCATAATCTTCCTGGTCTGAGTTATGGTTCAGAAGATGTCAATACATTTTAGTGGGGGCTTCATTGCCTCCTTTCTGATCACAGGTGCTTGTTGACTCCAAGTGCTTTCCTTCGATGTGGCTCCAGGTGTGTGGAGTAAGCCTTGAGTTCTCACTACTCCCTCCATCATGAAGCTTCCGAAAGCAGCCAGTCCTCTAACTGTCCAGGTGTGAGTAGAGACGGGGAGAGCAATGATTAGTTCCTGTGGTCTGACCCTAATACCACTGTGAATCAGTATCCAAATCTGCAAATGGGAATCATAACAATAATGCTTTCCTCAGGGGGCTCTTGTGAGGACCATTATCTAAAAATAGATAAAGCCTGCTGAGTGCTGAGCACAGTGGAAGCATGTGGAAAGCACTCAGTGTACTGCCGTCTACACAGTACTGCTCCAGGAAGTAGTCCACTTTCCTTAGGACTCCTTTCCTCTCCCTACTTGCTGCCAGTGGGGCATGAGGATGCAACCTTCTGTAAGTTCTGTATGTCTTTTCTCTTCTCCAAGCCCTCTGATGATATTCCATCCGCATAATGGTCCTGTGATATTGGCAGGGCATTTTTTCACATGGCTGGTCAGAGGAACAGCCCTGTGCTTCATGGTGTTTCTCATTCTTCATGGAGCCTGGGAAGGGAGAGAAAAAAACAGAGCTGGCTTAGAAATGGAGAGAAATAGGAGGGTTTAGAAATCAGAGCCGATACTCCTATATCTTTCTCTCTAATCACCAAGTCTCTCCTAATCTATATGACCACCTGCAGCCCATCACTATCCACGGGCACCTCAGAGTTAAACATGCCCCAAAATGAACTCATGTCCCCTGCCTTAGTATATGTTTGGGTGTAAGAAACACAAATCCTCTCAAACTTACTTAAGAAAGGAGTTTATTGTAAGGAAAGCATTTCGCAGCATGCAAGGGCAAAACACGTACGGTCCTCGGGTGTGGAGGGGCTGGTGCTGGAAGCTGGGGTGAAGCTGTCCCTCCTTCTCTCATGGAGCCACATGATGGCCATCTCTGTCTCTGTTCTGCTTCCCTCATCTGCCTCATTCCCTTGCTTCTTCCTATGAGGACCAATTTATCCTATTCCTCATGGCTGCTCTGCCCTATTTAGACTGGCTGGCATACGACTGCCTGGCCATAGCACTAACTCCAAGGGAAATTCTCCCTGAAAACAGCTCAGGTTGTCCCAGCCAACTGACTCAGTTTTTCAGTCTTGCTTAGTTCAGTATGTGGGGAAGAGACACTAAGGGGTCCAGCGTGGATGGGATGTCCCCTCCTGGGCAATCAGCTGTATGTGGGCAGGGGCAAAGAAGGACAAGGCAGGGATACCTGTTTTAAATATTTTCGCTCTGGCCTGCCCTTTATCCAGGGCTGTGGATTGGGGTGGGACAGAAGATTCTCTCCTCTCCAAGTCCTCTCTCTGGTTCCATCATCCAGCTATGTGAGTTAAAATCGTTGGAGCCACCCTCGGTCCCTCCCTCCTGCGCTTCTGCCTAGGGTGCTATTCATTCAACAGGTGTTGATTAAGGGTCTATTGCATGGCTTTAGTGTCAGACCGTGTTGTTCCCTTCCCTTACCTACCTGATCATCCTTGAAGATTCTGCCCCAAATCTCTCTTTCAGGAGCCCCTCCATTGATATTTCAGGTCAGGCAAGGAGCCCTTCTTCTGTGTGTAGTATCCTTACATATCCCTTGCTTTACCTGTAAAACTAGATAGTGGAATTGATCACTTTAAAGTCTGTGTCCCCCCCTTAGACTGGAGGCACCTCCCGGACAAAGACGATATCCTTTTTGTCACTGTAAACACAGCATTGGGCAGTCTCTGGCACACAGACGCTAAATAGGAGTTCTTAAATTAAACTGAGGTTGTGTGATCCAGCGAAAGCCTGAATATATCTTCATGCGGCAGGATAAATATTTGAATAGCATCAATTTCTTTTTAGACCTTTTGATACAATCACACTAAATATGCTAACTTTTAAACAGAGTTGAACTCCGGGAGTTTATAAGCCACTCACACTTTCAGGCTAGAAAGCTGATGGTGTTTGGCTACAAGGCTATCATGAAGCCACCTGCTTTCAAGAGGTGGGGAGGAATGCTGGGACAAGTGCTGGCCTTGGATCTCACACACCTGGGTTGGAATCCGGACTCCTCCCCTTGCCCACCAGGTGGTCTCTGCACAACGTGGGATGGGAACATGCACCTGCATATGTAGTCTTTGAGGTCCAAATGAGATAACATATTAAAGCACCTGCCAGCTGTTATCACACCATACAAGGTGGCTGTCATTATTCTTGTGATATTTTTTCCTGTGTTCCCTGAAAGGAGCATGTGCTTCCCATCCAGGCTACTTGCAGACAAGGAGAAAAAGAAGGCTCTAGAGGCAAGCCGTTCACCTGACTTTGGCTCTTGATGCGTCTCTAGTAGAGATGTGTGTGTCCCAGTGGATGAATTTTGTGCCTTGAGGAAACAGTAGCTGTGATACAATGCTGTTTTCTTCCATGATAGGTGATCCCACGCTCTTTACTGAATTGCTGACATGCCCTTTCTTGATGGAAGGATTATAAGCTCCCACCCTCGACATGTGTTGGTGATCCTTGGGAAAGACTTTTTTGCAATGCCATTCCTTGTTTTTCATCTACACTGTTTGAAACTGTTTGCTTCCCTTTCAGCACCTAATAAGGCATGAAATCAGATAAACAGGTAGAGGTTTCCTAAATGTTACTTGAAAAACACTTCGCTTGAACTTTAAATATATGTATATGGATGTTTTGCTTCTGCGTTTGAGCATAATTATAAATCAGCCATGGTTTCATGCATATTTAAAAATTATTTTAACGATGATTTTTTTTCTTGGTCTGGCTACTGCTGTGAAATGTTGTAGAATGGTCCTACCCATCTGCCTGTGCTCAGTGTGGCAAACGTCAAGGGGTCCACACGTGATGTATTGTTTGTAGGCACTATCACACACGCAGCTCGGATGAGGGGCGCCACAGTCAGGTGTGCATCCTATCCAGCACATGATAAAGAGAAGTTTTGGTGAAGTGCACCAGCCTGGTTGCAGGTCCATTAGTACAAGTTCCAGTTAGCTGTGGGATTACTCTTCTCATTTCCTACACATCTGTGTCCTCTACAGGCAGAGCTCTGGGGGCGGGGAAGGGGATCAGGGACCAGTCTGATTCACCCTTGCAGCACCTGGCACAGAGTAGGTGATCAACAGACTTTCATAACATGAAGGAACGGATGTATTAAGCATTTTCTGTGGTCTCATATTAATCGAATCTAATATATGTGACCATGTTAGAGAATGAAGGAGCCTGGTAGGATGCTGGGATGAGATGTGATATCTTGAGATCCACCACACCACATGGTGGTTCGATCACAGCTGTATAAGGCAGATAGATGGAGGGGGTGGGGTGAGTGGAGCTATCAGACCAGGATGCCAAGTCTGCTAGTGGCCACGGTTGGTAAGTTTGGAGAAGCAGGATAAGCAAGTAGTTAAGAGTTTAGTTTTAGGGCCGGCCCCGTGGCTTGGCGGTTAAGTGCGCGCACTGTGCCGCCGGCGGCCCGGGTTCGGATCCCAGGTGCGCACTGACACACCGCTCCTCTGGCCATGCTGGGGCCGCGTCCCACATACGGCAACTAGAAGGATGTGCAGCTATAACAGACAACTATCTGCTGGGGCTTTGGGGGAAAAATAAATAAATAAAAAATCTTTAAAAAAAAAAAAAGAGCTTAGTTTTAAATC